TGCAAAAACCCGTAAGTATAGTTGAAAGCTATGTCCTCAAGCAGGGTATATAAAAGGGAATAAGTAGAAAGGACTTTTAAGAGCGCTGGAAGGCGGGACATTGAGATTTTGCATTCTTTTTATGAACTTTTGAATTTGGCATTTTAAGTTCAATTGAGCATTACTACTCATAAGACCGGTCATATGTCCCAAAGAATCGACTCATACCTGCTGTTATGCTCCAGTGTTGACAATCTTCTCACTTTCTGTTTTGCACAAGTAGCTTCGGGAGATGTGCTCGTGTGTGATTAACTTGCTTTTAGATTTTTCAATAAAAAGACCAAGCCAATTTCAAGGCACACAACTCACTTACCATCTCAACTGTTTTGAAAAGATTCGGTTGCTTGGGATTGGATCAATTTTTTTTTTTTAATTTTTTGTATGCAATGCAAAAATTTAGATGAAAACGAAATGCAAAGAAAATAATAAAAATTAGAATAGAAAGAAAATCTTTTTGGTCTTTGAAAAATTTTCCATGCAGAAAAAAAAATGAAAAAGAAAATGAAATGAAAATTAATGCAATATGTACTTTTACATGCAACGGGATTTATACATGGATGGATTCCCCTCCCTAAGCTTAAAATATAGCATCGTCCTCGATGCTTGGATAGAGGCATAGTCGGCCTATTAAGAGTCGGATGGTGGAGGATGGTAGCTGGGTTGGGAATGGGTCTAAAACAGTAACAAATGCACTATGATTGAATTTTAAGTAAAATATGAACGGTTAAAGATATGGAAAGAATTTACCGAATCGTTCTTGGAGCCTCACAATTACGGTGTGAACCTCCTCTTCATCCTCCCCAAGCTATCCGTGAAGTATTTTTGGAGCCGGAGATTCAGTTTCTAGGAATAAAAAATAAGTTCAAAACCATTTGGGACATTAAAAAACAATTGAAATTTACCAAAGACTAAGAAGTTTTAACAGAAAGGAAAAAAAAACCCCGGGTTGCCTCCCGGTTAGCTTCCCTTGTTTTAAGTCGTTGGCTCGACTTGGCCCCTAAATGTGCTTTGTTCTAAGTAGGTGGGCCTTTACAACACATTAACCTTCTCACCACTTCCTTCAATTGAAAACTTATCTTCTACCTGACTTTTTTTTTTTGAAAGCACCTGCTCACAAAATGCTTGGCATAAACAATTAGTAACACCGTGTCCCCGGCAACGGCGCCAATTTGTTAGGGGTGTCAAACCCAACAAATAAAGGGTACAAATGACTCCTTAAACACTACTACTATGAACTAATAATGTAGTACAAGGTAAGTAGGGTCGATCCACAGAGACACGGGACAAGTGTTTATACCTTTTTGCAGAAGGTATAATAATGGTCACATAAATGGGGGGTTGGTATGCAAGGATTTAAACAAGAGGATAAAGCAATAACTAAATGATCAATTAAATGAAATAAATTCAGGATTTGTGAGAACTCCAACTCTATGCAAGACAATTTAACAATGTGATTCCAAGGATGAAATGATATCTACTCAATTCCACCTAAATTGGTACTTGAAAGTGTTAACAAGCTCTAACACTTTCCATTCACCACAATAATTAACCAAAACAAGCTCTTTGATTAATCCTAACCTTACTAACCTAATCTAAAAAAGCTCTTAGAATTAGATTGGAAGATTGCATGAAGCTTTATGTGAATGTTCCCAACAACACCCAATACTCCTCATAAGCTCGGGAGTGTAAAAGTGTATGTGAATAAGATTTACACTAAATCCATTCAATGGAAATCAATTTAGTGTTTGTTACTTAGTCCAATTCACAAAACAATTACAGATTTTGCAATTTGATAACTTGAATGACCTAACCCTAATTCAAATGGCCAATAAGAATCACAATTAGAATCAAACATTCAATTGAAACAAAATCAAATTCACTAGGTAGGAATTAGAAGCAAACATCAAATCACATGATTGAAATCACAACTAAAAAGTCAAGACATGAAGTTGGAGAAACTAGGGTTCTAGCCACTCATGACTAGAACATGATCACAAATCTAGAAAATGAAATTAAAGTTCTTACAAAATGAAATCGAATGTTCCCAAGTGTTAATCAACTCCAAAATCCTCTAGAAAATCGCCTTCTTTGCTCCCAAAATCGACACCTTGGTAAAAAGTTGGTTCCCCCCTTTAAAAATGGTGAAAAACTGCTTTAAAACCCGCATTTACGTTTACACGGCCCGCGTAAATTAACACTGTCATTTACACGGCCCGCGTAAACGCAAAAATATACTGCGCAGAAATCTACGTTTACACGGTCCGCGTAAACGCAAGGCTTCCATTTACACGGCCGTGTAAACGTCTGTAAAGCCAAATTTCTCATTTCTTTGATATCTTGCTCCTCGGTGCTCCGTAAGTCCTGAAATTTTGTCCGCAACTTTTATTTACCTCCTCCAACAATATCCTTCCTCCAAAAGTCCCTAAAATATCACAAAAGTATTTGAATGAAATTGCCTCATGAAAAATCCCGAAAACGTGCAAAATGCATGAGTTTAAACCTATATGCAATGTACTTTTATAAAATAAAGCTACAAAATGGGTACATGAAATGCACCTAACATAGGAACATTGGACATTCCGGGGGCGGGAGATGCACTCCCCGCCCCGTTTGCCCCCGTTGACATCCCTATCCATAATATATATATATATATATATATATATATATATATATATATATATATATATATATATATATATATATATATATATAAGACTTTCTTATTCATGTCCATATTTTATCATTTTCTTTTGCTTTCTTAAGTAATAAAATGTAATGAAAAAGATGTATTGATGTTTAAGATTATATTCATAAAGTGTTAAATTATATATACCATAAACATTCAAATATTGAATTTTGTTTATATAAATTGAAACGTATAAAATGTTTATAACTTATAAATTATATAATATCATCATTAAAAAATTAAATAGATTAGTATCAAAATTAGATACATATTGGCATCATTACTTTCAATATTAACCCTCTCCTCTTAACATATACATTCGCTTCTCTTTACACATACAAACAAGTAGGGATGTGATTTAAAATTGAAACACTGAACCGGAACCATAATATGTAGAATTGGTTCGGGTTTCGACTTTAAAGAATAGATTTATCCGGGTGTCGGGTCTTTTAAGTCCAGACAAAGAGGGTTTAAGAACCAGAATCGGTGTTAGGAACTCGAACCGATTTTAGGGGTCAGAACGAGTTTCTGTGAAAAGTTTAAATCATGCATATCTTATTCATTTGACGTCGAATTGATATTATATTTTTTTCATAGTGTAGTTTATAGTTTGTACATTATTTTAGACTAAAATATAGTTATTATTGGTTTCATATTCATTAACTTCCAATCCCCCAAAGTCAGGATATCAAAGCTAGAAATTATATGTTTTTATGTTTTTTTTTTTGTTGTATTCTGTAAAAAATTTAAAATATACATATCTAATTTGTTTGAAATCGGATTAGTATGCAGTTTTTTTCAACGTGTAGATTAGAGTTTGTATATGATTTTTTACTACATTTTTCGTTTTTGGTTTCATATTCATTAACTTATAGTCTCCCAAAATCGGGATATCAAAGCTGAAAATTTTCTATTTTTCAGTTATTTAAAAAAATTGTTTTGTTTTCTATGAAATTTTGAAATATGCGTATCTAATTCGTTTGAAGTAGGATTATCATGAAGTTTTTTTTAACGTGTACTTTAAAGTTTATATACGATTTTAGACTATAATTTTATCATTTTTAGTTTAATATTCAATGAATTACAGTCTTTTGATGTCGGGATATCAAAGCTGAAATTTTTCAAAATTCAACACACTAAACAATTACCGAAAAATTCCGGTTTTCCGGTTCTAGATTCAATTTGACCGGTTCCACCTGACCCATTTTGATGTCTCCGGCGGTCCTAAACTCACTTTACTTTGAACCGAACCGGAACCGATTCACATATACCGGTTCGATTTCTGATCCTACAAAATCTCGTTAACCAGTTTTCGGATTATTCAGGTCTGGATCTATCCACACCGGGTTTAGACTCGCATTTATCCATAGACACGAGTCGCATAAAGACAAGAAAATAGTTGACAGGTCAATCTCTCTTTTTCATTGTCCCCTATGATTATTTTTTATTTCATTTGTAACCCACAAAAACAATACCAAAAAATTCACTTGTGCTTCACCACCCATTAACTTTGGTAAAGTTGTCACAACACCTCACTATATATAAAATATTTTTCACTTTAGTACATAATGATATTCTCTTACCACAACTATGAATATGATATACATATGCTCAATACCTAAAGCCACCAACTTTCATTTTGTATCTAAGAGAATTTTGGATCAATTATTCTCGAACTAACATATAAAAACATATGCTTGTTTTAGCAACAAACTATATTTTACTTAAAACGTAATCCATTTAATATATTGATCATATAACCATGCATATTCTTGAAAATCAAAATTTGATTTTAGTAAAAAAAAAGCATCCTATAAGCTTATGTTCCGGTAATCAAAACGTTAGGTATTAGTTTATTGAATTTTTATAAACTACTTACTAAAAACTAAACAACAAACTTACTGAGATAAGTTTTAACTTGATAATTACTATTTAAAAACTTTTACATTCTCTTAAAAATCAATTTGATTGTTGTAGACGTTTATAAGATTCTCGAAATCGATAGACTTTTTGTTCAAAAAAACAAAAAACTAAAATAATTAATTATCAAGTTGACACCTTTATACATACATGAATAGACGAAGGAGCTAAATGCATTGAACACCAAAATTCATGTGGATAATATGTAATATTAACCCTAAGATGACACAAAGTTGGATACTGTAGTCCACAGACACCCCAACAAAACCTCAATCTCTTCAAATTCTCTTGTTTTTCACTTTATTTTTCCCCCATCGATTTCATCTTCAAATCGAAGTAGTACAAAAATCCATCAATGGAGATCGTATCAAGACAACAACACGAAAGAGAAAACCCATCACCGACGAATTCTCCGTCCAGCCATGGAAGCAGTAGCAACAGCAATGGACATACCACCGGCGGTGGCGCCGTCCAAACACCACCACTAACTCCAAGACCCGTTTCAAGATCCGAACCAAATCCATACCCAACAACCTTCGTCCAAGCAGACACAACTTCATTCAAACAAGTAGTACAGATGCTAACTGGATCATCAAAACCGACCCACCAACCAGATCCGGCGCCGACGAGGACATCCATACCGCCGATCAAAACCGGTCAACAGAAGAAACAAGGATTCAAGCTCTACGAGCGTAGGAACAGTCTGAAAAACGGGCTGATGATCAACGCATCGGTGCCGAAGCTCCATGGTCATGGGTTATCGCCGCGACTCCATGAAATGCTCTCTCCAAGCATTCTTGATTTTCCGGCGCTTGTTCTTAGTCCGGTGACGCCATTGATCGAAGACCGGTTGAATAAATCGTCACCGTCGATTGTGGACTCTTCGGAAGAAGAGAGGGTAATTGCGGCAAAAGGATTTTATTTGCATCCGTCGCCTAGGGCGGCGACGCCACATGCGACGACGGAGCCACAGCTGCTGCCTCTTTTTCCGTTGACCTCGCCGCGGGTATCGGAGTCGTCGATTTAGATAATGGCTTAATTACGATTAATGTTAGAGATCTTTTGCTTCAATTGTACAATTTGGATCTCTCTATTTCAATCGAAATTAAAAATAATAATTTAATTAATCATCCATTCAATTTGCACTAATTCCTCATTTAATCTTTGGATTAATACTAAAATCTTGAATTTTCAAATAAAAAAAAAGGTGAATGTAAATTGATCACATTTCGATTCCTTTTGAAATGTAAGATAGTGTCGCTAGTTTCTTCAAGTGTCATGTTTTCTATATGGTCGGTTATATGATAATTTAATTATCTTATTTTTATAAATTTAGGTAGTAAATTATTCTTTTCTTACAATTTGAATATCCAACATATAAATTATTAAATCTTTCACCAATATTGGACTATTGGTTACACAAAAAGAATGATCTTCACAACGAGAAGCTCTAATAACAATGAAAAAAAATGATCAAATCCATTTATCAAATGTACAAGGTGCAAAAGAGAGATTAATTGGTTAATGATTGTTGAAATGGTTTAAAGTCTAAAGGGTTGTATAGTCAAAAGGAAGTTCAAATTAAAAAAGTGGGGTCAACGATATTGATGGCAACTGTATGGTCAAATATTCATTATAGTTGCCCACGAACATCTATTATCATTTGACAAAAAGAAAAGAAAAAAGAAAAAGATATAAGACAAGTTGAAGATTTCTGATCGATTTTTTGAAGAAAAAGAAGGTATAAAGTTTGGTTTCCTTAAAAAATTTAATTCACACAATTTATTTGATTTCTAGGTTTAGTGGTGCTCCAGAAATATTTGATGAAATAAAGGAGAGTAGGATTTTTTTTGGAATCAACAAATTTTATGTTTTTTCTATGTAGCTACTTTTAATTTCATTTATGATTTTATGTTTTAAACATGCACTTAAAATTTTTAACCTTAAAAAGAGAAAGAACACCTCATATCCTTGGATTAAAAGCCATTTGTAGGAGAGTAGTGGAAAGTTGCATTGGATTCATTACTTCTTCAAAGTTCAAACTTCAAAGAAAGTAAATGCTTAGCAAGTGGAATATGGGCCTGGGCCCTCGTATAATCTGCTTCTTTCAATTTGTCAAACATATCAAATTCTTCTATATTTATGATTTCGAAATAACTTTTTTTACAAAACTTTCTACGACAGCAAGCCACTAACGTCATGGAAGTTTGAGATTGTTTATTTTAAAAGCTTGTTTTCGTAATACTAATTGCATATGGTTTTAAGCTTATTTAGTTTCATCTGCAATTTGTCCTTTGAGAATGTTAATTGTCTATTTGTTAGTTGCTCGATTGCCATGAAATGTATTCCTTGGTCCTCAATTGCTAGGTGGTGAGATCTTGATTTTCCTCCGGTTAATACGTTGGCAAATTTGATATTTCGATAATAAAAAGTTAAAGCAGTTCAAAGAAAAATATCGTTGCAATTATTATCATAAATATTTAGGTTCTTTAGAACATTCGTAACACCACCGTTTTTGGAACGGCTAAGCTTAGAAAGTCGAAATATTTGATAATCTGGTTTTTCAATCTTAATTTTGGATTTGTGATGAGAATGCATTGGTTTGCTTTAGAATTCTAGATTGGCTATGTTTATTTTGTAGCATTTTAATTTTCATTCATTTGAAGTTGGATTGACATAAAGTTTTTTCCAGAGTGTAGTTTATAGTTTGTACATGATTCTAGAGTATAATTTTGTCATTTTTTATTTAATATTTATTGACTTAAAGTCCCCCAAAATCGGGATATCAAAACTGTGAATTTTTATTTTTCAGCTTTATTTTTATATTTTGTGAAATTTTAAAAATGCATATCTAATTCGTTTGAAGTCGGATTATCAGAAGGTTTTTTTGCAACATGTAGTTTAGAATTTGTAAATGATTTTAGATTATAATTTTGTCATTTTCGGTTTCATATTTATTGACCTACAGTCCCTCAAAATCGGGATATCAATTTTATGAATTTTCTGTTTTTCAGCTTTATTTTTATGTTTTTTTGTGAATTTTAGAAATTCATATTTAATTCGTTTGAAGTCAGATTCTCATGAGGTTTTTTGCAATGTGTAGTTTAGAGTTTGTATATGATTTTAGACTATAATTTTGTCATTTTTGGTTTCATATTCATCGACTTATAGTTCCCTAAAATTGGGATATCAATGGTGTGAATTTCTATTTTTGAATTTATTTTTATATTTGTAAAATTTTAAAAATGCATATCTAATTTGTTTGAAGTCGGATTATCATAATGTTTTTTACAACATGTAGTTTAAAATGATTTTAGGCTATAATTTTTGTCATTTTTGGTTTAATATTCAATGAATTATAGTCCCCCGACGTTCGGATATCAATGTGGAAATTTTTTGAAGTTAGACCACTTAGTAATTACCAAAAACATTCTGGATTTTCCGGGTTTCCTTGTTGTAGACCTACTTTATCCGGTTTTACCCGACCTACTTTAATGTTTCTGGATTTTCCGGTTCTACACTCACTTTATCCAGTACTTTACCCGGAACTGAACCGGAACCGGTTGTTATATATTGGTCCGATTTCCGATCCTACAAAATCCTATTAACCGCTTACCGGGTTTTTTGGGTCTAGGTCTACCGGTCCGGGTTTGGATCCACTCTCATCCCTACCCAACGTACTCGGTTAGGGACCAAAATGACAAGAATTTACAATTAGGGTATAAAAGGAACCTACCCCTAAATCGCGGATGTTACAAAAATAAATAAGAAGGTCTAAACATTTAAGAGTGAATTTTATAAGAATAATAAGAAAATATTAAATTTTTGAAATTGAAGTGTGTATTTCTCTTTAAATTTAATCAAATAAATTAAATAATAAATAGAAATAATTGAGATTTAATTTAGGAATTTTAAAATTAGAAGAAAAGTTGCATTAATGAAATTAATATATATTTATTATTACATTTATTATAATTATTAAATTTAAATACTATGTGGAATTTTAAAAAAAAAAAGGAAAAAACAATAAAATGACATATGGAAAAACTTTCATTTAAAATAACCACAAATGACGTGTGACAAAATGAATGAGAGTGTAACATGTGACAAAAAAAATCTTTATTTATTAGGATAGATTATCATGATCCAAAGTGGGGGTTAAAAAAGATCAAAAGTCATAACAAACACCGATTATACAAAAAACTACAAAAATTCAAACAATTTTTATTGGTGTTTTCTCCATGTTATTCCTGGTTGTCTAAGTTGTTCAAAATAGTATCACATAGAATAATTATGCCAACTACTTTACTTTAAACTCTATGTTCGAAAATCAATTAAAACAAGTAATTATTGTAAATCATTTTTAGTTTTTTTTTAAATGACAAATAATTCATTCAATGAAATGGGCTAGCAAGAAATTACCATTACAAAGTTAAAGTATTACAAACGACAATCCGCAAAAGAAGAAAAGACTCGAACTAATGAACTAAGCTTCCAAAATTTTCATTGATACTTGACACACGAAAAGAGACAGAGTTCAGTAACTTCCACTAATTCAATGACATTGATCTTGGCCTTCCTCAATAAACATTCATTTTTGGCTTTCCATAAATACCAAAAAATCAAACCTATAATAGCACCGACATTTTTTTTTCTTGTTTTGGGGCTAAGATGAGGACATCGAGTGAGATAGATTGATTATGTCTAAGGACTTTGGAGGCCCAAGATCACAAGAAGTTTGATGAAATATAGCATCCCAAATTGAATGAGAATAGACAACAATAAAAAAGGAGGTTTGATATCCTCAATAATTTGAACATAAATGAAATGATCGACTTCAAACTTGCACACCTCTTCGAGCCAAAAGCTAAAATGATAGATAATGGAATATGGTTCAAGCAAAATCTCAAAACAAAACAATTAACCCTTTTAGGCATCCATCCATTCTAATTTAAATTTGGAGGTTTGTAGGCATATTTTGATGTTGCAGTTAAACCATTTATCGATTTAAGTGAGAAAACATCATTTGGGGCTTTAGTCCAAATCCACAAATCATCAAGATTACGGTGAGGAAAGAGACCATGAAGAAGTGAAATAAGGGAAGCAAATCCAACTTCTTTTGTCCCATTTCGAAGTGTATTTTTCCAATTATATGCCCTAGTGACAAAATATTGTCCCAAGATAATATTCTTCTTTGATTTGGGTCTAAGAATATCAATAATAACTTGGATACTTTAATGATCGTGTTTTATATATACACTTTCCAAAATCTATGATTTCGACCTTCTTTCATGGGGGCATCACGAAATCTTATTTGGGATAAATCAAGAATAATCGTTTTGGAATTCAGGCTTCTTCCAAATCTGAAACACAAAATATATCGGTTGTCTTGCGTTTTAGAGAGATAGAGAGATGCAAAGAATTAGTTTTCAGTTACATGAAAGTTGTAACATTTTCATGCGACGTCCATCCTCTTTTATATGTGGAAGATGGTAGTTAAGGGTGGTTAATAGTAGTTACAAAGAAAAAACCACAACATGCATCATTATGGTGTCATCAATAGTTTTTTGGTGCGAAATATATGTTTGGACCATTTCTAATCAGCAGGAACCCCGCCAGGGGTTCTTCCCCTTGGGCTCCACTAAGTGTGTTGCCCCAAGACCCCACCAGGGGAGCTGCCTTTGGATTGCCTATTCATAAGTTCATATTTATCATTCTGAGTGTGCACTTCGCACCTTTGGTTTCAGATGGTAAAATGAACTCAGCTTGTCTTGATAGTAATACTAATTAAATTAAAATATGTTGATAATATTAAAATCACCAACAATGCTTATAAGAGATCATACATTTTTTTTTCTCCGGCTCCAACTTATAGATTCAAGGAAACATATCTTATGGAGCCACATTTTCCACCCATTTATCTTTCTAAACCATTGTATTGCCCTAGTTCCAACTTTCCTAGAGAATAGATCCTTGAGACTGATACCAACTTCCACCAAATCCACATAAATCTTTGAAATGTCAAACCAAAGACCCATAATTAACTTTTATCCAATAGGTAGTTATCATGGCTTGACTACAAACAATGTTGGTCACTCTTTCAACTTCCACCACCATTTCAAAAATAAAGCAATATTCATATTTAATCAACCAGTATCAAATCCACCCATATTTTTTGTTGAACCATCTTTTACCAAATGACTTAATTGATTTACTTTTTGACACCACCCAAAAGAAAGTATCTTCTAATGCATTCGAAACTTCCAATAACTTTTGTTAGTGCATTAAAAATAGAGAAGTTATAAACGAATGAGATAGACTTGACAAGAGTCAGTCATCCACTAAAAGAAAGATTTTTTTTTCCAAGTATTTAGTTGTTTCTTTGAACCTATCAACAATAAGAGTCCATTTTTTAGGGTTTCATATTTACACAAATAGGAACACCAAGATAATTGAATGGAAGAGAACTGATCTCACAACGAGTTTGCTTTTAAGATAAATTACCATTAAGTTAGAGTGTATTTGTTATTTTGATGTAGTTTAAGCCTAATCATCTGAGAGTGTTACTCTTTTTGTAATTGGTATGCTTGGCCTTTGTATCGTTTTGGTATGATAAATGGAAATGTTTTTTTTTTCTTCCGAAAATGACATATTAGTGTTTATATGAAGATGCCTGATTTGCAATTAGCGTCAAAATAAAAAATATGTTGTTTAACATTATATAATCTCTTACCAAAAAATACACCATACATGTTACATAATTCAACCGAGTACATTAATCTAATAATAGTTTAAACTTGATAATAATGATAAAAGTATATCACACGTTGAAACTCAACAAGGACTTGCGAAACTTCTATCATACGGTCTCAGAGTGAACATAAGACAGTTATATGTAACTTCCAATTAAGTTCATGACATTATCGGTCAATTATAATTTAAAGGTTGAGTTGACAAACGTGTTACTTCAATTATTTTCATTTTGATACAAAAATATTTCATTTTGGACAAGTTCTTTGTATTTCAAACTAGATTTTTGCTTTTGGACGACATTTCCATCTTGTTTTGTAACTACATGATACATAACTCGTAGTTTGTAGACATTAAAATTTAAAAGTACAGAAAAGTTACTAAATAGACCAATTTAAATTATGTAAGGGTCAAAAGAGTGAAACTAATAAACTTAAAGGTGAAAAGTGATTACATCACCCTAGGTTCCTCACTTTTATTTGTTGCACATATCATATAACCATGTCACAAATGACAATTTTTTTTCCCACTACAAATATAATACACATTCCATTCAAGAAGAAGCAAATTACCAAAATCACCCTTATATCTCCGAAAAAGACTTGACTGTCTTGAATCCATGGTTCTCGGGCAGCTGCCCGTTTCCAGGCCGAACAGATATTATGACCTCCAAACCTGACACAAAAAGAGTACAAAACTTCAACCAATTTAGTGGTTTGATGCAATGTAGGGTTGTACATAAAAGTACAACCCAACAATGCATGGAAAATAAATCAAGTATATGGTTGTGTTATCTACCAGCTGCCTTTGCAGCTACAGCTTCTTGAAAAACATCTGTAACAAATAAGACATCTGAAGGCTTATGAACTCCAACTGATTCACAAATTTCAACATAACTTTTTCTTTCCTTCTTGTTCCTGTCATTTATACAATATGAATTAAAGATTTATTCATGAACACAGATATGAAACGCTCGTAAACACATATGCAAAATGACCAAATTACCCCACTGTGGTGTCGAAAAATCCACTTAAATATGTTCTCAAGTCCCCATGATTTGAGTATCCAAATAATAGCCTTTGCGCCAATCTGCTACCACTTGAATATATATACACCTGTTTATAAACAAAGTTAATTTCATTTTTAGTCCCTGGTATGGTTAATTTTTTTTCAATTCTGGTCCCTAACAAGTTTTCTTTTGCAATTTTGGACCTTAGTTGAGGTTTTTGTCCCTACTTGAACTAGGAATATGGACAAAAAATGTTATAAGAATCTCAAATGAGGAACAAATTTGCAAAAGAGAAAAAATTTAAGGACTCAAAATGTAATTTACTCAAACTTTTAATCATAGGCTGAAAAGTGAAATCTCATATATGAATGGGAACTTACTTTTATACCAGATGAATGCCACTTTTGAAGAGAAACAGGAACATCATCAAAAACAACTCCTTTGAGTTCATTTTTTTCAAATCCAGTTTGCCATATGTGACCCTATAAGCTCAAAGATTCAGCCACTTTGTATATAACTGAAAAAGATTTTCTTGATAACTAAATAATAAAATATGTTTACTTGTAACTGTTTTAAGGAAGTAATTTTCCTATCAGATTTTATCATCCCTTCAACATTAGCAACCAAAGCAGCAATCACTTCCTGTTTTCCAGCCTCATCAGATGGAATTGTAACAGCATTTGCAACACCATTTTTTAAATCATCTTCTACCTGAAACACGAATCTAAAAAATTACAAATTTATATAAATAGTTAAATACAATTTGCTAAAAAGATGCTAATTATGAAAAGCTTACTTGAGAACGTAACAATTTAATATCATCTTGAGTGGCATCAGTGTCATATGTTTCTTCCAAGTGTTTTTGCACATTGTCACGTGCATATGGAAAAAGAACATCAGTGACAAAAGATATAGGTGTTGTTGTCCCTTCAATATCAAGAACAACACAACGATGAGATGGGTTTGTAGTTTGACTTTGACCACATAAAAGTGGTTTAGGACCATGACTTGGAGTTGACCAGTCAAGGCCTAGTTGATGAAGTTTAATCGCAGCTTCAAAGAGATAATGGTAGCATTCAGATTGAGTTTTGGCACTAATCCACGAATCACCCCATACATAAATACCATGGTTTCTGACAAGAACAGCAGTTGTCTTTGGGTATGCTTCAATCTGTTTGATCATTGGGGAAAAATTGAAAATCACATATAAAGATTTGAAGATTGAAGTGATTAAATGAGGTGAAGGGAAGAAAGAAAGAGCATACTGCTGCAGCTAGAGATTCTGTCAATTCTCTTTCTTGAGCTGTGTTTTCTATTATGGGAACCACAAGTTCATCATAGTAACCATGGCCTTGTATTCCTTTAATCATCTCCATGTGAGTGATCTGAAAGATTAAAATAAAAGCTCAGTGATGCAATCATGGCATGAAATGTTGTTTTTGTTAAGTATTACCCTAAACTCTTTCGCCAATGGATCCATCATAGTTACAAGACACGATTCCATTCCGTGACTATGAATGACTGCACCAGCATTACGCTTATCATAAGCCTGGGAGATACAAGAACAAGAACATGTGTTAAGTCAAAATTGAGATTCAGAAACGATAATTTGAGAATCATTCGTTTGAATTAGGAATAGGAAGTACCTTCATGAAAAGAGGTGCACAATCGGAACATTTGGGAGGTTTATGAGGGTAAGGCTTCGGCGATGGAGAAAACAAAATATCACCAGTTGATGATAATACATACATGTCTTCTTCTAACATCCTTTCCTTTTGCACACCTATCATAAATTCCCCGAAATTCATCTTTTGTTCGAGTTTGATATATCAAAGTTCAATGAATTTGAAATCTTCAATTAGATAATCAGCATATAGATGTTTTTTCATGGAAGTATAACGGGATTAAAAAATAAATAGATACCGGAGGGGGACATGATTATGAGTTGCTCTGATTTGGGAACGGAGTCGTCGTGGACCTTGGCGGTGATACTTCCGCCGGTGCCGGAGACCCAACCTAGGTTGTAAAACAGACGGCATAGCTCAGAGATGAGTGATTTAGTTTGTTTGACCTGAGATCCCTCCAGGTATGCCTGGGATGTTACCGCCGATTTCACGCCATTCGCCGCCATCGACAGTGGTGTACTCTGCTCTGCTCTTTTACGCAGGAAGCGTCACAAGAGGCTGCGTCGTTTTTAGGCACAACAGCTTGAAGGTGCGAAACATTGCGTTCTGATTATCTTTTAATCGAAAATAAAAATTCATAAATTAAAAAATATAGTAAAAAAAAGAGCAACTAAAACAATTAGAAATTTAGAATCTAAAATATACTTTTTAATGTGTATAAATATTTAAATTGTGTACATTCATTAAACTATTAAACTATGTTATTATAAATTTTAAGTATCATAATGTTATTAGAATTTTGTTTAACACACGAACAATTTATAGAAATAATTAAAATGCACAAAGCCTAAATTGTTTTGACTAACCTCTAGGAATCAGCATTGAAATAGGAACCAAACCGGACATATGGTTCTACCGGTTCCCTATCAGTTCTTGTCGTGTCTTCAATGTTGGAACCGGTCCTCAAAAATAGTAATATATGGTATCGGTTTTTGCCGGTTCTACCGGTTCCCGGTTTCAAAAATCCACAAGAATATCGTCTCGTTCTATTCGGTTCCAGTTCCGGTACCGGTTCCGGCTGGTTCTCCGGTCCAAATGCTCATCCCTACTAATACCAAAAGAATAGTTACTTGTTTTGTTTAATTTGCTTTTTACCATTATTTTTGTTTTAATTGAGACTAAACTAATAACCTTTTAATTAAGACAACTATATAATCCAAAATTGTTCATTTTAACACCTTCATCTATCAAAGGTATCAAATGGCTGTCATCCCTTTTTGAGGTTGACGGTTCAAATCTTATCGTGGACATAAGTGAAATTTAAGTGTTAGTTTAGGAATAAATTATATATTTATATTTGTTGTAAAAAAAACACTTTCACCTATTTTATAAACTTTATAAGGGATATTTGATTAAACTAACAACTTTTTAATCTAAAACTTAAAATAACATAAAAAAAACAACCAACTTGTCTAGAATATGATATTTTTGAACCCAATAAAAATAGGTCAAGCACACTTGTTTGGTTCGGTCATATATAAATGTAGACCTACTATTTGTATTATATTATGTAGGTTTAACCCATGTTTATATCTTGTATACGACCCATATAATATTGTATATATATATATATATACCTTTTTATGAGGCAATAATTTTTTTCCGTAATATTCATTAATATGATATCAACCTAACTTCGTATTCTCGTTTCCTCTCGATAATTCCCTTACTTACCATCTGTTGCTACTCCTTATCCTCGTTAAAACCTTAATTCTTTCACTTTTTTCTTTCTATTATGGACAACGCACCACCCCTCGTTCATAAAGCTTTTACCATTACTAATATCAAGTCTCATATACCTCTTGTACTTAACTCATAATGCTTGAACTATGACTCATGGAGGGCTCTGTGTTTAACTCACTGTGAAGCTTATGAAACTATCGACTCCACATACGATCCACCGACTGCCAAATCCACCGACCCCAATTGGAAAAGATTGATGCTTTTGTTAAAATGTGGATACTATCTATGTTGTCTCAATCTCTTCTACATATGGTCATCAAGGAGAAATCCCTTGCTCGCGATGTTTGAATTGAATTAGAGAAATAATTTTGCGATAACAAGGAAGCTCAATTGATGTAATTAGATACCAAGCTATGAAGCATCACAAAATCTCGACGTTAATTTTAGCTACCAAGTTTTCCCTTTCTTTCAGATACACTGAAAAATGTATGAACGGTAGTTAAGTATCAAATTCATTTCTATGTCCCTTCGGTTGGCTTATTCGGGGCATCGCTTCATAAATATCATCACACATATTATTTGGTAGTTATTCATTCGAGCCTTAACGAAATTGGTTAATATGGGATAAAACATAACAATCTTCACTTTCACAAAGCCAAACACCAAATTTATATGAACTCATATTAAAGTACATAAGGCTCTCGTATAATTACCACATTATATACTACTTAGATAAGGTGGTATGTGGTATATTGAAGGTCATAAATGGTGAATTGAAGTTGGTATGTGGTAAGTGGCAAGTGAGTTTCTACTTTTTATCTCTTATAAATACCCATTGGCCTTTGCTATTTTTTTTACATATTCTTCATCTATTCAACTCATAATGTCTATACTCTAACCTAAATTTCATTCCTCCTTTTCATAGAAAATGAAAATAACTATACCACTTCCATAGACTATGAAGGAAGATAATATCATCATTCTCATATGTTGGCTAGTAAGATCGTTTTGGATCCGAACTACACATATGTTTCATATGAAATGGGCCATGAACACTATCGTACATACTACCAACTCAACATAAAGCTTATGGACTAAAAAGGAAAGGTGATGATGTTTACATGCATTTATCATAACATTGAAAATGCATGTCTAGATAATGATAAAGATGATATTTTCAAGGCAGCTAAGGAGCAATACAAATTCCAAAGTGACTTGAAGGACTTTGCATATGAAGTGCTTGGAATATTCTTAAAAATGTCTCATATTTCGAGTATGTAATGTTTTTGTTTTATCATTAAAATGGTAAACTCTTTGTAAAAATTATTAAGAAATAATTATAACTTTTCTAGAGAATGGCAAATTCAAACATAAATTATACAATTACAAAGGGAGTAACATGATCATCAGTTCGTTTAGTATTTCTGATTCATCTGGAAGAGGTACAATATACCACAACTTCTTCATTACTGACATGTATAAGTCCCGAGTCCAAGATTTACAAAACCATTGTCCATATATCTCTTACTTTAAAGTTGTAAATTGAGATATGTCTCCTTTTTCTATCATACATGCTTTCACGACCTCCTTTGAGGCACCATCTTTGCATAAGTGGTGAGGTTACTAAAGAGACCCTACAAAAAATAATAGGATTCTTCGATGCTAATATGTGTTTATATATTTATAAATAACAATAATATATATATATATATGTGTGTGTGTGTGTGTGTGTGTAACACACATTTTCCTGAATAGATCGGTTGAGAGTTTAGAAGGATCAATGTAAGGTTTTTGGGAAATCATAAAGGAGTCTAAAGCATGGTTTTTGAGGAAAACCATATACCACTACGTGATGCATGGAGTGTCACAATGTGGCATGGATTTTATGAAATGTGTGTTTTGGGCGAGTGTTACGACGTGGTAAGAGAATGGCCACGATGTGGCGAGCGTTGCAACCCAAGCCCGTGGACTTTGATGGTTTATCCCATATTTAAGCACCTTAACTCCCATTTTAGGGCATCTTCTCTAGCCTCCATCTTCCCAAAACGAAACCATAGCCCCTTTTCCATGGTTATGAGCTTGGTGGCTTGATTTTGAAGTGGTTCCTCTTGTCTTAATGAAGCTTGTGAAGAAAGGAACTCCTTCTTGGTGCAATGAAGCTTTGAGCAAGATTAAATCCATCATCTTCTTCATGCTTATGGACTTTGGAGGTAATAAAATTGCACCTTGGCCTTTCTCTTTGAAGATTCATGTTTAAGGTCTCAAATGAGTGGTTTTGGTACCTTCTTGGAAGCTCTTGGAGTTTGGAGAAACTCTAGAGCTTATTATGGGACTCTTGTGGTCATAAAATCCTGTTAATGGAGAAAAATTGTAACACACTGTTTCGCATTGTTTCCCATTTCGGGGTGGTGATCAAGGATTGGGTATTAGCAGACTTAGGGATATTGAATGTATTTTGGATGGTCCGGGTATTTAACTTGATTTCTAGGTGAAAAGGAAGAGAAATTATACCTTGAACCACTTGATTTCTTCACAACTTGCTCCAAACGAACCAAAAAGGATTAACATCGACCCCTAGGGTTTCTATTGGGCTTGAATCGCCATCCAATCTCCTTTCTTCTCCTCCTATCGTTCTTGTTTGGCTGAAATGAAGAGGAAGCTTTCTTATTTTCAAATTTGTCATATTTGGTCCTTCCAGTTTACATCTTTTGGCAAATTTATCATTTCTTCATTTATTTTCACATTTGCTTAAAAGGTTGACATAATTAGTCCTTGAACATCCCATTCGTAACATTCCTCATCCATTTAACCTTGGTGAGTCAACCCTTGGTCAAACATACTTTTCTAAATTGACACTTTGAGTCCCTTAACTTTGAAATGTTAGCATCTCAACCTTTAACTTTGCAAGCTTCATATCAAATAATAATATGATTATCCCTTGATTATTTATTTAAATAACTCACCTATTATTTATTTATCCATATTAATTTAAGAACCCGGTCTTAAATTTTTAGGATGTTACAGTGTGGGTATGCTAAGTGTTTACACTCATCTAATGAATAACGTCTCACTAAAAAGCCGTTAACTAAAACGTTGGTGAATAACTCACATCCCTAACTTAATTGTGATTAAGTCACTAGGCATAATAAATATCGTTGTATAAGGTTTATAGAAGCCGAGTATTTTTGACTTGTGTTGTAACACCGTAAATTTTAAAGCAAATTTTCATTTAAAATAATCGTTTAATTCTTAAAACACTTTTTGTAGAAATCTCATTTCTGTTTAATTTACAAAACATAACTCCATATTCAATTAGATAATAAACCAGGATCCTCAAAACATAACTCTTCTTTTGGTGTGTACAATCTAGCCGGTGTTGTCCCGTGATCCTGAGAAAACCTGAAACACATAACAAATAACACGGTAAGCACGAAGCTTAGTGAGTTCCTCAAAATACCACACATAACACATACTAGCCACTCGAGGCTATAACTCTGTGGGCCCTTGGGCCCTAAATCTACGAACCTTCCGGTTCTAACTCTCATATACTCTGATACACACGGTATAAATCACATATAAATAATGCAGTGCAACACAGCACATAGATAGCATACAGGATACTCTATCACATAACTCTGGTTACCTACTTAAGGTAAAGTATAGTGAGAAGACTCACCTCGGATACTCGGTAAACCTCGTACTCTGAATACTGCGCTAGCCTCCGCCTACTCACATAAATAATTTCTCTAGTTAATACAAATTTTAAAGGCTAGGCTAATCCTCCTCTATAAGTCCTCTAAGAAGGGTAAAAGACCATTCTACCCCTCTAATGGCTCATAAGACCAAATCATTGACCGAACCCTAA